GAATGAACTCGGTGTCAGTGAAGCCGCTCGGCTGCTGTTAGCATGTAGCACTGTCCCGTGTGAGCCTCATTAACTGTCACTCACGAGACCGACATGTGACCGACATGTCAAAGGGCTGGAGAGGAGCCAGATGTTGGGGACACGTGGAATCCAGATGTTGGGGACACGTGGAATCCAGATGTTGGGGACGCGTGGAATCCAGATGTAGACAGTACGATCAGGGGATCAGATGCAGAGGTTCGAGTTTTAGGTGAAGTTTGTGATAATGCAAAGGACAGTCACACGGAACTGTCTGGTTCCCCTCAGATAAGATAAGATAAGATGAGAGGGGACACTGGAAACAAACATGTGCAGTGAATAGATGAACCTCGAACCATTGTTTCTGCACAGACAGAATGAATATGTCACAGCTCAGAGAGTTAGAGTTCGTCCATGATTGGTGCATGTGGTTCTGCTGGGAGCTTTAATCTACGCTCATCAAACCAAACTGAATACAACACCGAGGTCCTTTCACTGTCTCCTCAAACACATCCCAGAACATCCAGAACCAGGTTCCGTCTGAGGCAACAAGCACACACGAGGACAAATTAACCTGTGACTTAAAGATACTATTTAAAATACTGCCACAGTTCAGACTTATTGAAATCTGCTCTAAACTCAGAGTAATAACAGAGGAAACACATTTAAGACGTGGAAATAATCACGTGTTCGTGAACAACCAGCTCTTTTGACCTTTAACCTCACTCAGTGTAGTGAAACTACAACTAAGACCTAACAAGCTGAACATCTAATCAAGAGCTACAACGACAGAAACCAAGTCTGAGAACAAACATTTTGACGTTCAAAAGAATCTGAGCTCTGTCTCTAACTGAAGATGAGCTCTGGAGTTCACGGAGATTCTGTACTTTGGTTTTGTGTCTGTAAATATTTGACACACTCCGCCCTGTCGGCCGTTCATCATCAGTCACAGTCCAGCAGAGGTGGCGTCGTCCTGGCCAATGATATGTGAGCATATGGGGACAACTGTTTAAAATGTTAACGACGGCACAGAACACATGAGGTTAAATTAAAACCATGAGACGGTGTCGGTGGGTGTTCAGATAACATGCTGTAAAAATGATTACTGCCTTTTTCCGTATTTCTTTCATTTTGAAGCAACATAAAATATAATCAATGCAGATGTTTCCTTGTTTGTTCATGTGCTGCGTAGATAAAAAATAGTTTTAGTTGTATTTCATCCTCTTGATATTTTCTATTTCCTGAAATATGTTCCTGCTTTCTCATTAAATTATCAGACGTTAATTAACAGACACCTGGTGTAAACTCCTGATTTACAGATCCAAGAAGCCGCAGCCCTTTAATAATCCAGCCGTGAAAACACGTGGATACAGTTTCTCAGAAACCCTCCATGGGTTCTACCAGTATATGCAATCAGATTTTTATTGTAAATCATAGAGATATTCCACATCTTGTCCAGCTGTATTCTGAGTTTAGTGTTGTTACAGTTAACACAACTCATTCCCCCTCCCCCAGGCCTGGCTGGATCATCACTCTCGTTCTCTGGGTCTGTTCATCAATGGCAAGTTTGTCCGTCCAGCGAACAGACAGACGCGCTCCCTGACCGACTCTAAAGGTAACGGCAGCTCAAACCTGTCTGAAAGCATTTTAGACGATGGGTAATTCAAACCATGAACATACGCTGGACATGAAATCACCACAAAATCAATACGCACGTTTGCTAAAAATCAATTGTCAACAACCCACATAAAAAAAAATTCCCTAATTCAACACGTGAGTAATGAGAATAACTGCATCCCTCTGCTCGGAGCTTTATAAACTGAGTTCTGTAATGAAACCGATCACATGACGCTCTGATCTCCAGGTGGTGACGTGTGCAGCATTGTGTGTGCTGCTGACGACGATGTTTCCCAGTGTGCGTCATTAGCTGTTAGTGGCCACCGAGTCTGGAGCGGGACGACGTGCTACAACAGAGCTAAAGTTCTGCTCAGGTAGGACAGACTCAGCACTGACATTAAAACCATCCCAGCAGTTTAATTAGTTTATATATTATACATGGTTTCTTTTGTTTTTAGGTTGGTGAGCGTCCTCGGGCAGCACACTCAGTGTGTGTCCGAGCTGTGCGAGCTGTGCGAGGCGTCCTGCTCGACCTCCACCCTGGTCCGACTGCTGCAGTACTACAGCAGCTGGGCTCAGCTCAGGGACACGCTCATCTCCAGCTGGACTCCTCTGGGTGAGGGAACAGGAACACGGAGGATCAGTGTCTTTATGTCTTTTGATGCTTGATGTAGTCACGTGGTTTTTTTGTTTTGTTCCTTCTCTCCCAGGTGTGGTGGCCGTTGTTGTCTCTGACGACTGTTCTCTTCATTCCCTGATGCTCAAAGTCCTTCCAGCTCTGGCCATGGGTAAGACATTTCAAAGAGAAAGACATGAACGGTAAACAGCCTCGTTAACGGCATCAGTCTTCTTGTCCAACCAACCAACGGCTGAAACCGTCAAATAAATAGATAATTGGTCATCAAAGTAACTGCAGATTCATTTCATAGTTTTATTTGATCTGTTAGTTTTGGTTTATTCTAAGAATTTATTCTGACAAACGTACGTCCTGTCGTCATCACCTACGAGGGCGGAGTCTACCTTGATTTGTAGGCAGCGTCTGACGTGGGCGTGTTGTCAGCTTAAGTTTCTGTCAGTCAGCTGTGAGCGATAGCCACGTTTGTTTTTGTAATGTTCATTCAGAATTGTTTTAAGGTGTTTTTCCTTCCTCCTCCCAGGAAACTCTGTCATCATTGTCCCTGGTCGGAGCACCGCCCCTCCAGCGCTCCTGTTGGCTCAGCTTTTTATAAGTGCAGGACTTCCTGTCGGGGCTCTTAATGTCTTAACAGGAAGTGACACGTTGCTGGGTGCCACAGTGGCCCAGAATCCGTGCATCAACTACGTCACCTACTGTGGCAACAAGCAGGTGCGTGAAGGAGAAATGTTGGTTTTACCGTGTCAACACAATTTCCTAAATCGACACACTCTCTGTTTCTCCTCCGGGTTCAGGATGGAGTGATGCTGTGCAAGGCCACAGCAGGGATGGGTGTCCCCGTCTCCGTCTTCCCCTGCATCGGTGCCACATGTCCCTTCATCATTTTTGAGTCCGCTGACATCGACAGCGCTGTGGATGGAGTGATAGAAGCAGCCTTCAAAAAGAAAAAAGAGGTGGTTTGCTCAAAAAGAATCTTCATCCCTTCAGACCACGCAGCTCGCAGACTCTAACTCCGCCTCTCCCCCCCCCCCTCAGATCCACTGGGTGTTGTGTGTGCAGGAGAGTGTGTTGGACGGCGTTGTGGCCCGTCTCAGGCTGCGTCTGGCGGGGAGGAAGTGTGTTGGTCTGCCCAGTGAAGCTGACAGAGTCCTGGTGGAGGCTGCAGTACAGGAGGCTCAGCAGCAGGGGGCCACGGTCAGTCAGAAAAAGTTGAGGATGAGTTGTGCAGTGACTTTCTGTGTTTTCATGAAAGTCACCGAGATGAGAAAAGACTTGAACTTGGTCGTCGTCGTAGAATCTCTAAACGACTTTCCTCTCTTTCCTCAGTTGGTCCAGTCGTGCGCTGCTCCTCCGTCAGGTGACCTGTACCCTCCCACTGTGCTCTGTGGGGCCGCCCCCTCCTCTCCGTTTGTGGTCAGCCCTTCTCCTGGACCGCTGCTCCCTCTCATGACCTTCAGGAGCAACACAGAAGCAGTGACGCTGGGTAAGGACACATCTGAGGACACTGATGTGAAGAGGTATCCCAGTCATCCCTTTTCCTAGCCAAGCTGTCCGGCTCATCCTGGGGGGGGGGTCCCGAGGCGTTCCCAGGCCTGATGGGATATGTAGTCCCTCCAGCGAGTCCTGGGGTCTCTTCCCTGTTAGTTCAGTAAAATATTCCACATTATGTCTTCACAGGGAACCACAGTCCTCACGGCCTGGCAGCGTCCATCTGGACTGAAGACCTCACTCTGGCTCTGGAGACGGCAAAGAGGTTCGTTCACGCGTCTTCTTCTTCTCTTTTGTTTTAAGTAACATCTTATATAATCGTCTTCTATGTTTCTTTGCCTCTGACGTGTTTGAGTTCTTTCAAATTATTTTCAGAATGCCTCCGTGCTGGTAAATCCTTTCTGACGTCTCTGTTAAAGTTCTTTTGCCACTGATGATGTTTTCTTCTCTCTTTATTTCATCAGTCTCTCAGTTGGCTCCGTGTGGGTAAATTCCCACTCTGTGTCAGACCCTTGTCTTCCTGTCTCTGGTCACAAAGACTCTGGCACCTGCACTGATGGAGGACAGGAGGTGGGTCCATCATTTCACTCTGACAGGAAACAACTATATCTGCTTTTTGACCTGCACTGAACTCCGGATAATCTCCTGACATCATGCGGAGCGGCTGCATGTGAGAACACGGGAGGAGATTATCTTGAGGATTCTCCCTGAACAAGTGTGTCGATGAGGTTTCTAACACGCGACAGACGCAAACAATAAGAATAAAAAAACCAGGAGAAAGTCAGAAGATTGTCTGGAGCTCAGTGCACGTCTGAACGCAGCTGTACAACCACAGAAGAGTCTTGTGTTTCATGTTGACCACCTCTCTGCTCTCAGGGCTTGTACCAGTTTCTACGTCCGCCCTGCTCTTCCTCCTCTCTTCCTCGCTCCACCCCTGTTGCTATGGACTACACGAAGTTTGGAACAGCAGCGCCCACAACGATAATTCCTGATGAATCAGACGCTGCCAGGTGGGTTTGTGTTGCTTTCTTCACTTCCAGGTGTCAGATACCACGGCTGCACACAAACTCTCAGCAAATGGTGGACGTGTGCTGACGTGTGTCTCTCCCCTCAGTGCTCCGAAGTCCTACCTGCAGTTTGTTGGAGGCAAGGCATGCAAATCAGAGTCAGGCCGCAGTGTGGCCCTGCAGCTACCAGGAGGAGGCAGTGTGTTGGCCTACTGTCCAGACGGAGGCCGGAAAGATGTGCGAAATGCTGTGGAGGCCGCGATCAAAGTCCAGCCCAGGTGAGAGTTTCACAAGTGGATTAAAAAAAAAAACTGAGTTTCCTTCAATTGAGTTTCCACTGAAGCTGATTTGCTCGGTGTTAAGTTAATCACACACAGGCATTTTAAATCACATTATCTCTGGATGTCTTCATCATAAACAAGTCTAAAAGTTATTTTACTGCTGAACCTTTATCCTAAAACTCTCCCTCACCAAAGTTAAACTGTAACTACTTCTAAAGTGAACCTTTGAACCGGCCACAGGTGAGATGTGGCCTCCAGAGATTTATTCATTCAGGTACGACACATGTATGAATGTGTGTTCATCACCGGTCAAAGTGCAACTTGACTTTAGGAGCTGATAAAAAGAAACTGCTGAGTCATAGACAATATATCCCAAATAATATGCACGAATCAGCAGAGTGTGATAAACTGCAATCCAGACACAGGCCATTAGAACTAGAGTTAGTGCTCACTGGGGTTACACTGAAATATAAGACAAAGAGTTCGACTGTGTGTTCATAATATTTCTTTTACACCCCCCCCCCCGCCTCTAGCTGGATGAAGAAAAGTCTGTCCGCACGCGCTCAGTCTCTCTACTCGCTGGTCAAGAGCCTGGAGTCAAAGAGGCGAGACCTGGCTGCGTCCATCAGCGTCCAGGCCGCTGTGTCAGTTGAGGAGGCTGAGAAGGAGGCGGACCTCAGCATCGCGAGGCTCAGTGATTGGGCAGCGTACTGCGACAAAATCCAAGGAGCAGCTCTGGTGAGAGAAAGTAAAGTGCCTTGTGTTGCATCAGAAAATCATCAGCTTCTAGATTAATATCATCCCTCCTCCTCAGCCCATGCCGCAGTCCGGCTCTGCTCTCTCCATCCCTGAAGCCCTCGGAGTGGTGGGCATCGTGCTCCCAGACAAGAGTCCCCTCCTCTCCATGGTTACACTTCTCGGGGCGGCCTTAGCCACTGGCAACGCCGTCATCATGGTCCCCAGTCAGAAGAGTCCTCTGGCGGCCCTGGCATTCATTCAGGCAAGTGTTGAGATGTGGACGTCACTGTCGCTGGAAACATCTGAGTTAACGCGTGTGGAAACTCTCTCCCTCCGCAGGTGCTCCAGGCGTCGGACCTTCCGGCAGGTCTGGTGAATGTCATTTCAGGAAGTAGGGACCAGCTCACTGTGGCGCTGGCCAATCACAGCGTCATCAAGGCCGTCTGGTACTGGGGCAGTGCTGAGGTAAGAAGAGAATCCAAGAGAAACCTGAGCTCCTGAATGCACAATGATCAATCTAGTCGTTATCACTGACCACACGTCCTCCTTTTCCTCCTCCTCCTCTGCAGGGCTGTCAGTTCCTCCAGTACACCTGCACCAACCCTCTCAAAACCCTGCAGCTTGTCTGCCAGGAGGAGGAGGAGGACGGCGGGAGGGACTGGACTCACCCGTCACTCCTGGAAGAAATGTGGAGAAACGCCGTGCAGTGGAAGAGTGTGTGGATTCCCACTGCGTAAGAAGAACGAAGCTGACGAAGGAAGTGTGACAGAAATCCTCCGCGTTTTACTGTGACGATCAGATGCCTTGGAACTCAATCAGAAAACCAGTTGTTCCCTCAGCCACAGTTGCCGTTATTCTGCCCGTTGACACTTCCTGTAGCACTTGGAACCGAAAGTAATCACTTCTTAATCATGATCAGCTGTTTCACACCTGCTCCCTGGAGCTCAGATCACACCACACAGACAGAGAGCGACTTCATCAGCCTCCATTGCTCCTCTATCTGAACCACACTGAAGCACTTAACGACAGACAGGAGATTTTAAAGGACCTAAAGAAACATTGTGCCCGGACGAACATGTTGAAGTTTCTTCACTGTGATAAAGACGGTTTTCATGTTACCTCCTCAAACTGAAGCAATAGAGACAGAAACACACCAGACTCCATGATATTTTCTATGTCAACGAAGGACGACGCACATAACAGCTCGTTAGCTTTGCCTACCTAATGGCCTCATGTCTCTCTGCCTCTGTCTTCTTCTCTCAGTATCATTCGATCAATTGATCCTGTGTGAAATAAGTACAAGTACTGAATATCTGAAATACTGTAGTGTGGAAATACAGTTACTCAAACATTCCCATTGAAGTCTTTTTTTTTTTTTTTTTTTTTTCCATGTCCAAGTCAAGTTTATTGAAAATGAATTTCAAATTTTGAACGTTCCCGCAGAGTCTCACTGTCTGAAAGCAACAATTAAAGGATAATCACACAAACGCTCACATTCTCTTGTGGTGTTTTAACGGTTCTGATGGCGTCGCTCTCCAGATGTTGTGTCGTCCAGATTGAATATATAGATTAAAATATCCTGAACCTTCATGGCAGCAGACGTCGTTTATGTTCATTAAAGGTCTATAATTGCTGAAACTGAGGCATCAGAGCTGTAAATTCACTTGTACAGCTCCGGTACAGTCGTGAAAAGACTCAATGATTACAACAACTCACAAAAGAGCTGTAAGTTGTGCAAGTTCACTAAAAACTGAGATTTATTCAGAGAGAAAAGCAAAATTTCACTTTTGTATTTATGAGCGGTGACATTTAAAATATGACGAGAGCGTAGAAGACTGCGGAGTCTGTTTCTGGATATTCTGTCCATTTCTGCAAAGTTTAACTCTCTAACTTTTTTAACTTTTTACAGAATGAGACACAAAAAAACAAACTCTAACACAGATAAGTCAGAGGACCAGTGTCTCCTGACTGGTTCCTGTTTCTGACGCCCACTTCCTGTCTGGTGGTTCACTGTTCACAAGACCAGATCAGGTCATCTTAACCAAAAACAGGAAGGAGTCACAGCAATGACACAGCAAAATCCACGGGGGAACCAGACACTGCTTGACTGTGTTAAAGTGACTCAGCTGTTTGAATTGCTGAGTCACTTTATGGACACTGTCCTGTAATGAAATGTCCCAGATTCTACTTTGTTGTTCCACAGCTCATGAAAGAGACAGAGACGGCAGAAGAGGATTTACTGCTCGTGTCAACAAGAAGCTGCAATAAGGTTAAGTTGAATTGTCCCACATTAGATCAGAGGTTATATAGAATATGATAAGATAGACGATAATAAGTCCAGGTGAAGAAAGATCTGCTGCATAATTCAGTTTATTACAGTCTGATAAGGACAAAGGTTAAAATAAAGGTATACATGTTTATGAATATTAGTTCAGATCTAATTTACCATCACATATACTGTTAATACACACTACATACACTTACGTTTACTTCAGTATACACAGACTGTCTGTTGAAGTTTATACCCCTGCAGTCTTGTTGCAATGAAAATGTTTCTGTACAAGTTTTACTTTTAAAACGCCGACTTTATTCACTTTATTCTGAGAAAACGAAGTGAAATCATTTCCAGTGTTTTACGATGACGGGCCTTTGAGGCTCAGCTGAGCTGTGGTGTTGAGTAACGCAATAAAAACTACCTTGGTGGAAAATACCTTATCAGCAGGTTTTCGATGTCATGTGGTGAATACATGAGCTGCAGCACGTCTGCGGAGGACACACAGCGCACTCGTCAAAATCCACCCACAACTAAATTATAAACTGTTTTACATTTGCAAGAACTTCACTGTAGAAACAGTTTGGACCATGTTGTTAGCATGGCAGTGTTTTTAAGTGTTTAGATAGAAACTTTGTAAGAATGTGCTCGACACAGAAAGTTTACAGCTAAAATGACAGTTCAGTCAAATAAACATGCATCTACAATGATTAAATATTAAAATACTACACACAAAACAATTACTTATTGTTCATCGAAAGGTTCGTTTGTACATTTGGACAATTTAATTGCTTCTATTTATTGTCTATAAGTCTCGATGTGTTCTGTTCAAGAAGATGTATGGTCCTTTCAACACACGAGCAGAGAGAACGAAACCAAGAGCTGAATCTAGAAACGGAGCCGAAAAGAAATCCAATGAAATAAAATCTATAAGACAACAATTTAAACAATCATCTGTACTTTTA